AACGGTATACAGCAGCTTACTGTATACCGGTTGACTGTATCGAACAATATTCTTCACTTGTTCTCCCTCTCTCTCTCTCTCTCTCTCTCTCTCTCTCACACACACCCACATTCACTTTTCGTTATGATTGGGCATTACTGTCGAACCGTAGAGAAACGGAAACAAGCACAATGAAGAAGGAGAAAAAAAAACACCCACAAACATACAGAAGCCGCATTGAATTCCAAAAGAAGAAGCCGTAATTCCAAAAGCTAAATTGCACATTGGCTTTGCGTGAGCATTTTATCAATCGCAAAAAAGCCACTGATAATATTGTATCGATAAAGTGTGGCGGAACATAATGGGATAGGACGCAATGGTCTGATTAACAAAAGAGAAATGCACGTTTTTTTTTCTTCAATCAAACACATACGTACAAAAGATTGAGTATTTTGCAGCTTTGGGAACCATGGAGTAGACGAATAATACCATTTTCCAGTTACTTATGCATGCTTATGAGGGAAGATGAGTGGTGTGGATCTTTTAACTTGGCCGCCTTAATCAATTTAAAAGGCTTTACGTACATTTCTGTGTGTGGCGGCGGTGGCGGCTAAGATGGCAACGATGGCGCTGAAGAAGGAGCGAAATCCAAAAGAGGGAAACCAAGATTCAATTGGAAATGAATTGGTATTTCGTATTTGTATTTCTGTTTTTTTTTCTCTCTTTTGCTCCGTTCTGATTATCAGCACCATATGGCATTAAGTCTTAAAACCTTTAACCTGCCTCATCGTATAGGTACATTTTTTTCGTACGTTGATTTAGTTCCATATGTATGACGGCCCGAAATTTTCAAATATTCGGAATTTGGTTAAGTTTGCTGAAGCTTAAATGAATGAAGATGCAGGGCAAAGCAGAATAGGAAAAAAAGAAGGAGAAAAAAGATACGTTGAAGTGTGCAAGTCGACAAAACAGGGAAAAAAATTGGATTGGCTTTAAATGCCAGGTGTCGGTGGATGTAACGAAAAGGCCATGTAAACATTCACCGACAATGTGCAAACATGATCGGAAAATAGAAATGAAAGCTTTTTAAAAACGGCATGGCAGCCCATGCCAAAATGGATTCATAAAATCATATCAAGCCATTCCGTTCCTTTCAATTTGAACATATATAGTAAATGTCAAGGATAGCAAGAAAAAAAGTACACCCAATAAACAGAACTGCGCTAGCACTTAACATGCAATTCTTTCAAAATGTTCATTTTTAAAATGGAGCGTTAAAAAAAAAAAATTGACATGAAATATGTATGGTTTGATGAGGCATTGCATGCAGCCAAATGTGGACGCAAATTGTGAAAATTCATTCATCTGTAAATGAGCCGAATTGGTTCCAGCCGCATTCAGCTCGAATGATAGAAAACCCGTTTTCACCGAAAATAATATATCGCAGCCCGTTTTGAACAATTGAATTGCAAATTGAAGCATACCATAGCAGCTTAACGTGCGGAAAATTTGCGCGTCTAGCACCCACCAAAACATCATATTTAAATAAATCATGAGCAACACCATGTCATTGGTGTACATAAATTCGCTTCTTCAACCACTTTACTACTCTTAAGTTGTGATAGTTGCTGCTAAATCAAAACCATTTGAATTTCTGCTTCACGCTATTCAGACGAGAAGACTGGTAGCAACAGCCGTTGTATATAAGCTCGAGCCATTGATAGAAGTCGCCTTGTTCAACAAAAGCAAAATGAAAGAGAAACAGTGAGAGAGACTGCAATCTGGCTTATAGTTAAGTAGATTTCAACAGCACGTTCCAAATATTTGGTTTAATTTGACACATGTGCTCGCCTGTCGGCATGTTGACATGCATGTGTCTTGGTCGACATGGATACAATATTGATAAGTGTGTTGATATGACTTTGCACACACTTCCACACATTTTTCGGTGAAAAGCGACTAGCAATAATTGTCGTTCGTAAAAGATATAACAGCATTATTTCGTTTGTTTATTTCCCTGAAAATGGTTTGGCTGTCGTTGTTTTTTGGCCTACGCATCAGCAAAATTTCTCTTCCCCGTATTCCAGTGAAACGATTCCCACGACTTCAACCACTCATGGAAAAGTAGCCGTCGGAGTGCACTTTCCTGTCACGTTACGTTAAGGCGTACACATTCAACTCCTTTTACGTTAACGCAGTTGTATGTGTAAGCTTTAACGTAACGTGCACTCCGACGGCTACTTTTCCATGAGCAATCAAGCAGATTGTATTGTAGCTTTCATTGCAACCTTTTCGGCTGTGAATCCAAAGAGAAAGAGGAAGAGCAAGAGTGTATAACGGCGAATGCAAAAATGGAAGATATAGAGAAGGTGGAGAGGGATCGACATCAACCAAAAACCAACGTACGTTTCCAATGTAAAAAATTTATTTGAATTCAAAATGGTAATGTTATTCACTGCGACAGAAGTGCGAACACATTATTTGTAAGAATGCTTCAAATTCAATGGGATTTGATATGTGTACTTGTGTTGGGAGTGTGCCATACACACATACACATACACACACCCGATAAATGGCAATGACACATAATCCAAATTTCGTTGATTAAAAGTCTTTGCTTCTGAGATCGCTTTCATTAGATCAAATTTGTAAACTCTATTGGTACTGGGTGAACAGGGAGAGAGCTAGAGGCAGAGAAAAAAGGGAAGGGAATGGGAAGAAAGAGAGGCGACTATAAATAATATATGTAAATAAGAGCATATAAATTTCCCTTAGTCTCTCTTCCTCTCTCTCTCTCTCTCATACACACACGATGATATCAAAATTTAAAGCAAACTTAAATTGTTGATGTTATGCCAGTGTGCGTGTATGCTTGATTAGCTCATAACTTGATTATTACTCAACGAGAGTGAAGTAATTGATTTCAAAGGAAAAACGGAAATATTCTGACATTTTTATTAATATTTTAAGTGTTTATTTGCATTTCATCGTCATCATCACCTTCGTCTTTCAATGGCTTCCGATTGGTTGTAAATCCCGGGCAGAACATTAAATGGCAACAAAGTGAGCAAATGCCATTTCCACGCAGTTCATTCCACGTTTTCTCGTTTATTAGCCAATTCGTAATATCAGCGTGACGATTTCGAAATGAAAATGCACGTCTTTGATATGGAATACCAAGAAAACGGTATTCATTAAAATTAAGAACTTCTAAAAGATAAATTCCTTATTCGGATTCATGATGTTCCATTAAAATTGTTTGCATACACATATCCAGTTGAGTCAAAGCATACCATACCATTGCCATTTGATGATGAATTCCATTTCATGGATTAAGCCTTGCCGGTTGTTTGATTCGATAGCATTTTGCACAAACATAGTGTTTGATCAACTATATAAAGGTATACAAATTTCAAACGCATAATCAGAAATTTAAATGAATGAATTTTATTGTTTTTTTTTTTCATTTGATTTTCCTTTTATTCATACAAATTCGGTATTTCTGTTGCTCTAAAATGTTATTCTAGAAGGAGACGTGTACAAATATTCATATTTCCATAATGTATGACACATAATTCAAATAATTCGCTTAATGTTATGAATGAAATGATTGTAACACCTTTTTTTTATTGCTGCTGCTGCTGTTGTTGTTGTTGTTGTTGTTGTGGTTGTATTGCCATTGCTATTCATCTGATGAACACCGAATATACTTTATTCAATTTTCCCATGATTTTTGATTGCACGTAAATAATCGACGCTACGAAAATATCAAGCAAGCAAGCAACCAACGAAAAATAATCAGTTTGAATTGACAGAAACATTCGAAGAAAAGAAAACGAATTTAAATTAGCATATTTCTATTTCATATCTTCAATTCGATACATCACACCGTATGCTGGATAACATGAATGTTCTTCTTATAATTTATCGGCAACAATTGGAAGCGGACACATTCAAATATTAGATAACACAAAAAAAAGAAGACGACGAAAAATGAACGGAAAGTACATTGGAATCAACGATATTGCATTATGTGTCAATTTTGATTAATGTACATATGCGCCCACACATTTTGTACTCGTTCCAGTTGAAAAAGTTTAGAATTTTTGCTCACGTCGTGGCGTCGCATTTGTTTGACTGTGTTTTGTATGATTGTTGTCGCAGCATATATTGTACCGTACTTGAATGTGTGTGTTATCTTTCTTTCTCTCTCTCTGTGTGTGTTCAATCTGAGAAACTATCACTCCAATAGGTGGTGGTAAGTGGTGCAACTGATTTGAAGAGATCACGTCCGGACACTGTTGTTGTATCGGTGTCGTTTTTTCGTTTCGATGTGGTTTCAATTGGTTTTCGATCGTTGTTGGTGGCGGCTGTGACGATGGAATTGCATTTATGCGCATCAAGTTGACTCTTATTTGGAAAGTATCGTTTACATTTTTGGCATACGGCCGTTTCGGGATGCGAAACTTGAACATGACGTTGACATTCGATTTTCGATGTGAACACACGATGACACTTTTTACAAATGCGTTCCGGATCTTCACGATGCCGTTGCATGTGCTGCATCAGTGCGGATCGTTGCTTGAATACCATCGCGCAAATGGTACACTTTTCATCGACATGTGTACGACGATGTTGTGCCAGTGCTTGGGCCGTGCCACACGGGCGATTACATACATCACATCGGAATTGCAATCGTGTTGCAATTGGTGATTTGATAGGTTTCACTGGTTGCCCTTTTTTCGTTGCACCACCGCCGCCGCCATCGTCATCGTCATCACTTTTCACAGCCTTAATATATACAACGCTATTATTGCGGGACTTTTTCAATGGCTGCGGCTGATGTGTAACGGTGGTGGGAATGGGTCGTTTTAAGGTTTGCGGCGGCGGTCCACGTCTTCGACCACGTAAACTTGGTAATCGTTTCTTTTTCTCATCATAACTGGATTCACTGTCCGATTCGCTGCTCTCTTCACTCTCCTCCGACAATTGGAATTCATCGTCACTCTTTTGATCATCATCCGAATCGCTGCTCGATTCCACACAATCGAGTAGCACAAATTCGGACGGTGCACGGCGTGTTTTTTTGCTACGTTTCAATTTGGATCGCAGCACTTTGTCAGTTTCTTCACATTGTACACGTAATTCGTATGCGGCTTCGACGCGATCCACACAATTACCACACACTGAATGCGGTAAATAATCACGTTCATTTATTTTAACGGATGGCGCAAGTTTCATTATCAAATCACATATACGAAAGCTGGTCTTTTCACCAATGCGAAAAATATCCAACAAATTCTCTGGCGACATACAAATTCGGCATTGATTCAATTCAATTTCATCCGGTTTTTTAGTCTTTGCTTCTGCTTCCGTGGCATTTTGTTCGTTCGATTCGATTTGATCGTTAATCTTATCGTCGCGTTCAACATCATTGCCATCATTATCACCGTCGTCGCCACCGTTGTCACCACTCTCACCAACACCGTCGCCATCTGTCTCAGGCATTTTTTCCGTCTCAGGTGGTATTTCTACTTGAGTTTTTAATTCATCACTGGCCACTGATACATTTGTTTTGTTCTCACACTCGTTTGAATCAACCGCACATCTATCATCCAACTGGGCCGATTCATGTGCATCATCCTTTGCTGGCGTTGAAATTTCATCAGCATTGTCAGAGACAGATTGACCGTCCACATTGGTTTGACTTTCGTCTGCGGTGGTTTTTTTGCTGCTCGGCTCAGCCACTTCTTGAGGCGTACACGATTCGACGAACTCTTCATGTTGTTGGGTCTCGACACATTCGTCCGTTCGATTCACACTAGTCATCATTTGTGATTGATATTCCATCATGTGATTGAAATCATCCATCCTCTTGTTTGGCGGGAAAATTATATTCGAAACAAAAAAAAAAACAATTCACGGTTAAAATATTTGAATTAACCAATTCGCATAGATGCGAATTTTCATTTAGATTCAGTTGTCAATATTCCACACATAAAATTCGAGTCGAAAACCAATGTAAAGGTAACCGGTTGGTTAGAGCATCAATTCAAACAGCAGTTGATTAAAATTATTTGCAACTTTTTTTGAGGTTATGTTGCTTCATTGAATGCAACAAATGAAAGAGATATGCAATTAAAATCATCCGCAGACGAGCCAATCAACTCTTTTTGAGTATTCTTTTGTTGTTCAAATGTTTGGTACCATATTGCATAATATCCAATGGATATGGAAAAAAAGTAACTGCAGGTATCAATCGATTTTTTTTTAATACAATTTGAGTGATGTACAAACAAAACAAACAACATGAAATGAATCACTTTGATATTATGGGTTTCGTTTATCATTGCCTTTTGACATTAATTCAGACGCTGCTGCTGCTTTTATTTCGCGTTGCATTGCACAACGCATCCATGAACAACAAACAGAAGACCCGGTATTGTAATTTCAGTAGAATAAACAATGATAAAATTTGAATAAAAACTCGGAAAGAAAAACAAAAACCCATCAACAAAATACCACTCCACATCGTTTTACTGATAGTAGCACATTGCATTCTCATTTTTAGCTCGTCCAAGTTGATATATGCAATGGCATTTGTTTACAAGCAAACAATTCGCTATTTTCATTTTTCTCTGTGTGGTAGTCGCTGGTTTTTGTCTTTCCCTCTATTTCTTTAATTCGATCCAAAAAAGAATATCAGAATTTTAACTGTTGATAAGCGATACATATCGTAACAAACAAAATATAAAAAGAGAACGAATGTTCCGTGGGTCGGTCGCGCAAAATATTATTGTTTCAATAAATAAAACGTTGCTTCGGCTTGATTTTCATTGGAATTTTATATTGGAATATTGACAACCGAATTCAGTTGTTTTTTTTTCTTCTTTTAGTGTGTTTTTTTTCTCTATAGAATTCACTTATTCACCTTTGATTCGGGCTATTTTTTCATTTGGAAGAAAAGATTTTGTTTTTGCTATTTACACAGTCACCGGCAAAAATCGTCTGAATTTCTTTGTTGAATTTTCAACAAAATTATTGCGTATTTCCAATAAAAAATCCAAAGAATCCGTAAACGATTTTGTTTTTTTTCTTTTTGTGTTGTGTACTTAGAAAAGTCAAATGAAATTCTTTGATGTTTATATTGAATGCAGAAACTACGTTCACAATAAACAGAAGAGACAGAACCAGCATCGATGGCTATGTCGCCATTTTGGTACGCATACATACACAAAGCGTTTTTAGCTTGCGTTCATACTAGCGTTCAAATGAATCGCATGTGTGCCGATGTATTTGTACCCAAAGCTGACATTTCGAATGTGCGCACAAAAGAGACGACTATAGAAGCCAACACACAGAACGGCCACCACACAGAAAAAAAATTGAAACTGTTATCATCGTTGGGTTGTGAATTTTAAGCGGATTTTGTTAATTCGAAAAGTTTTCTTTAATGGAAATGACCATTAAATTAATTTCACCGGATTTGATTCGATTAGCCAACGGATCAAATGCCATCGCTGCGGAATTGTTTTTTGATGAACTTTAATGCAAACATCAAACGGTTTAATGGTGTTATACGGATTGTGATACATTCCAATGCATAACTATGTCTATCCTTGTCGTTCCCAATTGGAATTTACATTGGTTTGGATGAAACATTCGATTGACTGGGTTCTGGTGTTTTATTTGAATTTGAAACTTTGTAGTGAATTCAAAACGATTGCAAACTGAGAGTGTCAAACCGTGGAGGGTCTGAGTTACGTAGAATAAGATATTTTCATTGGTTGTTAATTAATGGCCCTAAATTGCAAATTTTGGCCATTTTAATCGCCAATAATTGAAATGAAAATGATTTTAATCGAAAAAAAATGCTGCGCAGATGGAAAATTGGTATGTAATGTCTCAAGATTATCGTACGAAATCTCATGTACACTTGACCTATTTGAAATGGACTAAAATGATGGGCACATTGTTATTTCGGGCATAAATAATGTATATGAAATAACGGCACAACTGTCTCTATGTCCGAACATTTGGCAGTGGCATTTGATTTAACAACATGTGACAGTGCGTTTTGATGAAAAACGGATAATAGTTCATCACAGGTCAGCCAGCCATATGGTTTTTCGATTAACGATTGTGACAATCGGTTCTCATGATTGCATTTCGTGTATGGTCCTTGTCTCCCACGGCAAAAAAAAAGAGAAGAAAGCATTTGTCCATCCATATGGTTCAGTGAAAATCACACCACCATCCCGCGATACGCACAATAAAGAAACAAAACAATATAATAACAACAATCAAATAACGACTGTGAAGTGAAAACATTCATTTCAACTTGGTACATGTTTCCGGTTTGGTGCGATGCTGAGTGTATCTCAGTCTAAGATTCTCAGGAAACTTCTTATTATTGTTTTTATGATTTCTTTTTTTCTCATTTATTCTACTCTATTCTATTTTGTTCGCATATACACACACACACAAACACTAACTGTTCCCCTTCCTCACATCTATTCTGATCTTCATTTTAGTGCTTCGCAGTGCGTAAAACTATACGTCATTGTTCATAATTTCTTACAAATAATATCCAACTCAATGGTGGATAATTCAGCCAGGAGGTTAAACCGGCTGCAGATATTCCGAAGCCACTTCATAATTTCGGTATGTACGCATATATATATAGTGTGTGTGTGTGTGTGTGTCACCATTCGCGAATGGATAACAACAAGTTCCAAGTATTTTGTTGTCTTCTTTTTTTATTACATTAAGCTGCTCTCGTGCTAAATCCCCATACATCGTACGGGAAATGGCACATATTTATATATATTTTTCGCCTATCTGTCGTCCGAATATCGTGTTATTCTCGAATGGTCTTTCATTTGCAATGAAATTTATATGTATCCATCTGATGGTGTTATTTTCCTTGTTGTCATTGAATTTTTGTATGCTGTATGGCCGCAGCATTAAAACGAAAATGAACAAAAGAAAAACTTGTCAAATGCTCATTTTCACAGGGAGTTTTTATTATGTGCATTTTGTTAGCGTGTTATGACAATCTCGACTCCATCAGTGCGTAAATATTAATTTCAGTGTTGGCACATCATTTAAGCATTGAGCGTAGAGCATATAACGGATTTCCTTAACTAGATTCACTTTCAGTTTAAGCGCAACGGCGCCCTCCGTAAAGTGAAAATGAACACGAAAATGAAGTCCGCAATAAAAACTACAAGCGGCGAAACCATTTATTTGACACCATCAAAATGTATATGAGCATTTGAATTTCGACTTGATTACGATTTTCGCACCAAATTTCTTTTCTTCTTTCGTTCTTTTAAGTGCACGACATATGATGCCATTTGACGTCGAGATTGCCTGGACACCACGTTTTATGTTCATTTCGCATTTTTTTTATCATCCGAATTGATTGCTTGAATCAATGTTAAGTTGAACATTGAATTTCGGTGGAAACTGATTTTCACCATTATCTCATTTCAGGAACTCACTTGACCACTTGATTCATTTTCCCACTTAATCCACTTTACCAAATACGGGAACAATCTTCGCAAGTCCCTCTCCCGCCCCAGAAAACAATCTTGAGCAAACGAAAAAGAGACAAAGAGCAAGGGAGGGAGAGACTTAAAGAGAATTATAGCCAACTTCTGTAGATATGATATTTTCGACGATAAGCTGGCTCCTTGGAATTCAGTTTTGATCAGATTTTGATCTTACACCATAAATAAGGTGTTAAATTTATAGTGTCGTTAGTAAACAATGCAGCGCTGCATCGTAAATTGAGAAACGTTTTTGTTCATTGTCGCAGAAATATTGGCTCTAATTGGTTTTCCTTGTTCGTTCCAGCTGATTTATAAGCGACATGCAATACAAATACAAGCACACATGCTCGCACAATCTATTCACCAGCACGAGCGCTCAGCAAGAGGAATCGAGTAGTGCCACCCATTTTGGAGAAAATTATCAAGGAAATTGGGTTGCAACTATCCAACATTACATTACAGCAACAAATGAAGTGAATCATTAAAATTTATAGCCCGGATATTAATTTACAGATATTGTTGAAGCTCCTGCATGCGCGCAAACAACTTGTCGTTCTCATATTGTTGCTCATCGTCGTTGTTGTCGGAGGCGTCGGATATCTCGTGTATAATGTTAATCGGAATGGGTGATGGTGTTGTTTGGGCTGATGCGTGTGTGCAAGATCAACATCTTGTACAGTTTGCTGACATCGATACACATTGGCATCGACACTTCACAAAATCGATTGTATTTAATAATAGTGGAAAATATCATCATAAAACAATTGCATCAGCGATAAACTAACAGAGCGAAAATGGAGAGAGAGAGAGAGAGAGAGAGAGAGTGGAAGAGTGTGTGTGTGTGTGTGTGTGTGCCAGAGAGAATGAGTACATAAGCACTGGATAGCCCATAACATTGTGTTGTTGGACTAGCTATTATTGTTTTAATTGTCGTTGTTGTTGTTATTGTCAGATACAAAGTTGAACAATGACAAAACGATTATAATGCAAGACCGAACACAAACAGCTTCATATACTTGTAATTAAAGTATTATCCAAGACCCAGATTAATAAGCGATAAATCAAGTAAATGGAAAATAGAGGAAGAAAAATGGCGAATTTTCGTCGAAATAAGTAAGTGAGCGTGTGCGGGCGTTCAACAATAATTACGGATATACAAAATATACGGCCACAATGTGCACATACACAAACATATGGCATTCCAATAAAAACCGCTTTCGATAAATGCGTACTTGCTTTCCTAGCCTGCTCGATCTCTCACACTCTTCCACTTCACTCTCTCTCTCTCTCTCTCTCTCTCTCTCTCTCCAATTTTCTTTCGATTTTAGTCTAGCTTCTTCTCGTTACTTTGGAAAACTGAATGAAAGTGATTAATTGCAAAAATGCTTGTCAATTAATAAGGTTGGTCGCAATGTTGCTCTGTGTATTATTTCCCCTTTTTTGTGTCATATATTTGCCCAACGATGACTATTTCCACTACCAAACTACGTAATTGTGCTAAGAAGTTCGATTATCTCGTTAATTAAAATCAATTATTACGCAGTATTCATTTTCCTTCTTTTGCTTTCTTTGGTGGATGGAAAATCCAACCTTCCTTCCATCCCATATTCACTCCGAAAATGTATCAAAAGCAATCCGATTGAACGACTACTTTTAGCATGATTATGCAATTACAAACCAATTTTTCGATAATCGTAACTATTCCGACACCAATTTGATATTGATGAACCCATGGCGTTCAAAAACAGACGCAATGAATTCGTGCTGTTTCACTCATTAATTGTGTAGAGGTTTCAGCGGGCTAATTCCACTTCAGAGATGAAGTTGGTAAATGTAGAATATACGGACCAAACACACACACACACACACACACACACACACCACAACGCAGATGGTACTTGAATGGGTACAGGTGCGCTATTTGAGAGCGAAAAAAAAACAGAGTCACTCCAAAAAAATGTTACGTAATGAGACGACATTGCCGAACAAAGGATTTTCAATAATTTATCAAACATTTCTTTCTCCGCTGTCACGCAGGACAGCAACAACAACACTTCAATCCAAAAAATGACATATCGCGAGATTTGTGAATCATAACCAAATCACCGAGCACAAATCATGTCTCATCGTTCGTTCGTTCGTTGTTAACGCATACATTGAACTTGAAAAGGATGTTGAACAAGTGGCAAGCTTATATGGTTATTGGTTGCCAAACAACAGCTGACGACAAAAAATAATCCAATCGATAGTGAGTGTGTGAGTGAGTGAGTAAACCAAAGGGATGCCATGAATAGTTTTGCCATCAATTTGATATATATGTCTCTGATGGAAAATTGCAGCGTACTTTGAAGCAAATTTCAGTTTCATGCACGCTTGCATTATGGATTTCGCCATTGAAATTAAAGATGCATAAATTCGAATGGGAAATCGAATATGCCAACGGCATATATGTGTGTTTGAGTGAGTGCGTGTGAGTTGGATGTTTGAATGGAAATTTACAATGAGACCATTTCACGCGTCGACTATCAACATGGGATTGCTTTAATTATGGCGGAACACTGTTTGATGCTTGTCGCCCTTTTTCTCCTTATTTAAATAATAACGATCTAACATGATTTTTTTTTCTCCGTTTCTCTCTGTCTATTTTTTTTTTCTTTCTATCTTTCTC